AATCACTAGAAAATTAAATTTACCTTGTACAAGCTGTAATTTTATGACAAATATAATTTGTCTGTCACCGTCATAGTGACCTGTATAACGTCCAGTGCATTGCAATATATCACTTAAAATTTAGTCATTATATAGCAAACTACTGAGTACTGAGCGGGAAAACGGATCGTGCAAAACATGAAAAATCGATTTGCACGAAATAAAGCTGGGACGGCGGGAAAAATAGTTAAGAAAAATAAAGGCCCGTCCTTCAAATACAGACATAATACATATATCTAGTCCATAAAACAAAAATATAACTTTCTTATTACTGAAAGGATTTTTGTGAAAAAAAAACGGCAAGATGTTTAAATTGAGACATGGAAATTTATGCAAACCATAAAAATACTCTAAATAATAATTTCACCCGAAAACTCTAAATTGAACAAAAGATGATGCAATCTCACATCAATGAATATAGAGTAAAAATGAGGTTCGGCGTGAAAATATAATGCAAGATTTTACAAACGTACTTTCACTTTGTGACACTGACAACAAAGATCCTGTGTTTACATCTATCGTTTTAATCTTTTTATTACCGTAATCAGCGATGACCATTTGTGTGGCAGAAACCATTACTATCCCAATGACATTGTTTTTTTCTTTATCAGAAGGAAAAGTCACGTTGTGCGATCTTTCATAATTCACACATATTTCAGTATCTTCTGATGATTTTCGGTATGTTGAAATTGTTCCAAAGCTTTTCTCATTTTTCAGTTGATCAAGAAGCTTTTCGTTCCGCTCAAATTAAATGTCGTCATATGTCATATTATCTTTGACAATCTGTATTTCTTCACTTTCCAGTGTCATCATACGTGGTGTGACGTTCTTCATAACAATAAAAAGAATGATTTTGCTTTTTTGCTTCCTTCAGGGCATTAAGAAATGACTGTGAACGTTTCACTTCCTCGGCTATTTTTTCACAAGCAACCTTGATATTCTCGAGTTTGTAGTTTGCTGTGTTAACAACAGCTTCAGCTTCTTTTATCATCATCGATTCCATCTGATCTTACCGATCGATTCTTTCCTTTCTCAAGAGTCGTATGTCTTCAACAACTTTTCCACGACTTTCTTCCAGTTGCTTTGTAGCAGCTGAAACCTTCATAATGTTATTTTCACATCTATTGACTAAATCTTTCACCTTTTTGTTCAAATCTATCAACTCGCCAGATCCGTTACCTGAAACATCAGGAATATTTTGCATTGTTTATGTTCAAGTGTAACACAGACATAGCATGCTACATTTTTGTGTTTTGTTACAATAGAACTCCAGTGGTTTATCCCTATGGTTGGTACAGTTGTCAGTAATGACGTCTGCATTTACGTCAGCGGTCGTTTGTTGTGTTGGCATAGAGTCTTTATCAAGCAGTACATGGTTTCTTGATGGCCTTGACCTTCTATGATGTTGAAAACAAGTTTGGCAAAGATGTTCCTGGCAGTCCTGACAAAATCGGTAAGCCGGCTCCTTTAATCCATCTGTGTCACACGGAATACAGTAGAGGTTAAAGTTCGTATTTGATGTCGAAGTTACCTTTCCCGACACCTCCATTTTCTTAAACGAAAAGAAATTACTGATCAATTTCCCGCAGACGACATCAAAGTTCTGAACAATATGAAATAAAGATAATTATATATATTCCTGGGAAATTAATATGTTTAAACCTCAGGTTTATAACTAACATAAAATACATCGTACGATGTATCTACTGAAATACTGACTAAAATAGCAGCAAACGTACATGTTACAGTATCATATGATATCTTAAACTAATTAAATCAAAGTATGTTTACAATCAGAAAGATGAAAAACCATGTTAAGCTTTGTCCATTTTCTTGACTAGAGTTGAGAAGAAACACTTATGTACTTCATTAGATTCTCGAGCTTGAGGAGAGGATTCGGACCAACCAGTAAAGTCTTGAACTTTCTGTTGCGTATACAGTTAAATGCTTTCAATATAATCAATTACATGCAAAATTTCGATTGATTATTTAACAAATACAGAAGAAAATGATGGTCTTGGTTTTTGTACCAATTTTAATATATCTGCTAATCTTTTTAGATCGATTGTAAGTCAAGTCATGAAGTAGCTTTGATGTTTAAGATTATTTAATGTTATTTAATGAAAAAACTTGCTTTATATTAAATAAGTCAATGAAAGTATAAAGACTTTAGTTCATTTGGGGATTACATGTTTCAATTGTTTATATTCATACTATATGTTTTATTTTTTCCTTGTTTAACATCCACTTATAATTAATAAAAAAAAATGACTAATTGCGATATTGTTGCCACGGAAAGGTTCGGACTAAAACGTTTGTAGACTTATCAAATTTAAAATAGTAACATACTAGGTAGTTGCAAATAAATACATTTATTCTTATTTATTTATTCTTATTCGTTATTCTATAGTCTTATTGTATTGTTTTTAATGTAAACTGTTATCTTCATAAATCCATCAAGGTCACTTAATTCCAATTGTCCGTTGTCATCAGAATCTAAATAAAAAGTTTTGAAATTTTATCAGAAAAAAACCAGATCATTTAGTCGTGTTTGTAACAGATGGCTTAATTAGATCTGGAGACTGGTTCCAAAGAAATTTCGTCTGATATGTTGCTGTTAACTTCATATATACGACTTGAAACGTATATGATAATTCTAGATCGTGAGAAATAAGGTCCTGTAAACTTGTAAATGAGTCACGACATGGGTTATTGTAGTTGTCATTGGTTTCGGACCATCGAAACGATAAAACAGTCAGAATCGGTTATGACTCGTCATGACATGATACTATAGTTAGAATAAGTTATGTTCGTCATAACCAAATACTTTATTTTCAATTGGTTATTGGTCGTCACGCCAGGCTTTCTTATTTTTAATTGGTTATTGGTTTCCACATGATGAAACTGTTTATAGGTGGTCACGACATGATGCATAGTTGTAGTTGGCATTTGTTATGGGTTGTGACGACATGATACTTATGTTGGAATTGTTTTTGCGTCGTCACTTAAGTTGGAATTGGTTATGGTTTGTCAATAGATGACACTATAGCTGTAATCGGTTGTTAAGACATGATACTATAGTTTGAATTAGTTATTTGTCATCATAACCTGCAACGCATTGGTTATAAGTAGGCTCGACATGCTACAATTTTTGGAATTGGTAACTAGTCGTCATGACATGGTACTATAGTTGAAATCGGCTATGGCTATCACTATTGTACTATATTTGCAAATGGTAATGAGTCGTTATAGGTAGAAAACTTAAATTGGTTTAAGTTTTCAGTTAAATAGAAGCAAAGAGTCACAATGACCAAAGAAGTTGAAGGAGTATTCAAGTTTTTCCTTCTGAAACGGTGACAATAACATCTTCCTGTGAAATTCAAATCTTTCTGACCATGTGATTGATGGAAAATACCCTTTCAAAAAGATAAACAATTTCTTTCATTTCATACATCGAAAGTAAATAACAATCGTCTTTTATTACTGTAATAACACATTTAACCGAAGTGTTTGATTAAAAGCATTTAGACACAAAGCTCTGTAATTAAACTATCATAATTTAAGGACAAACAAACATACTCTATAGAGAGATAAAACAAAGCAATTAGAAATACATTTATATTTTATGGAACATAGAACAAATAATTGTATTACAAATAATATTGACGGACATTTCAAAAAAGAAAAGAGAAATTAAAAACAAAAACAAATACCCTTCTTCTGTGTAAACATTTCCCTTGTTATCTAAGTATATATTTTGTGTTCAAATGCTTACTGGTTCAAATGCTTACATATAAACTGAATGAAGTTCTCGTGGTTTTCATTGAGATGCGATTACGGAACCGTATCGTAACAGCATATTGCACGTGCGACAACCTAGTGTTTGCATAAATACTGTAAATGTTAATCTATAAAGATGATTCTTTACTTTAATTATATATGTTTAATATTTCATTATTTTAATATGGTTAAATCATTTTATCATGCAAATCTTTTAAATGTTGACATATATTTTAAAACCATAATATTTTAATAGATTAATATATCGCATCATATTATTTTGATTAACGATTTATTTAAATTACGGATTTGGTTATCTAAATTTGAAAAGAAATTGCGTGAATTAAAAAAGAATACAGAAACATAAGAAAACGCTAAGAACGTTCATCACTTATGACACGAAAAATTCAATAGAAAATAGAAATTCGTAAAGAAATTTTTAAACAGCAAACTTTAAAATGTTGCAGAATCGGTCTGTTCTTTGACGGTGGTGCCTGGCTACGCCCATAATACCGTTTAGGCAAATATAAATAGGGTGAAAAAAATGAATTAAGAAATATACAACAAGTATAAGTTACTAAGCCACATATTAATTATATATTAGTCTTGTTAAGCTATCAGGCCCTAAATCTGAAAAAATACTTACGAACACATTTCAAATCAAAAATATAAAAAACATGTTATTGACATACATAACAGCTGAGGAACATCAAAGACAAATCAACGCATCATGCGATAATGCAAAATCCAAGATAATGGACTTGAAGAATTGCTTGTATAAATGTGTTATTTATCTATTCCATGAACCGTTATTTCGAAGAGGGCTCAACACACACCACTCATTAGTATTTGCCCAAACGTTCCTGTACTGAATCTATAATGAATTAATTTTGATCGTTAAAATTATAAAATCTTTGTAACATTCTATTTCAATTATTATACCACACAATTAAATAAAATAATTGATTGATTAACCAGGGATGTAAACGTAATTCAAATCAAATCGTATCAAATCAATCACATTTATTCATCTCAGTACATCATACATCATACAAGCATGAGTTTTGTATACAGTTATTATTTGTAAAAAACAATACTACATAGCATGTCATTTACTGTCACAATACACAAATAATTGGGATAACCTTCTTTTGTTTAAAAGTTTTTCTTTTTCTTGATCAGTATGAAATTTTTTTGAATGTAACAATTCTGCAACATAATAAGTATCTATGGTCCACAAGTTTACTTTCATATACAGCTGATATCAAACCACGTGACATGTTAATAGTAAGATTCTTTTAAAAATCACTGATGAAGTCAACAATTATCATTTAGTTACTATTACAAATCAAACACTTGTCTGCCCATACGTACTGAAATGTTATTTTTTCTGTTTTGTCATGGAATATTAAGAGATATGCAACATTTGCTTATTATATTTAAGCAGGTCAAAATAATATTCCTTATTTACATACCCTAAAAAAGGAAAATTGGGTTAACACTTCTTCAAAGTAGAATCATAAATTAAATTCAAAATGGAAATATTCACTGGAGATATACATATGTAACTGAAATGGTTGTTCTTTAACATGGAATGTAAATGATGATCATCAATTATTACATATTTGAATTTAACAAAAATCATATCTACTTTTAGTATACAATATTTATCTAAATGTGTTTTTGAATTGATTGTGTTGCTACTTATTTGATGTGTAGACCCATCAATGAATGTGCCTTATTGCAGCTAATATTCACATTCAAAACATACCATTAGTCTATTTCACATTGAATACTTTTATTGTATAATTTGAAATACACCCCCGCTGAGACGAACAACTTACATATAATTTGTGATTACTTTTACTGTATGTTACAGCCTTTGGATAACGGAAGTCTATTTTCTCTAATCCTATAATCTCACATTTTCTGAAGCTGCTTGACAGTCTGACAATTTTGTCACTGTCGTAGAAACAAACTAACAACGTACCATCTTCCAGCTCCTGTATTCCTTTAGGAAATACATATTCTTGATCCTCAAATCTTTGTACAACATTACCTTGCCAGTCTATCTTAATACATTTGCCATTTTTTCTATCGGAGTTATCATCAACCGCATACATGAACTTCTCATCTCTGCTAATTATAATCTTTTCAGGTCCATCAAACAATCTAGGAGTATCAAACACCTGTTTCAATTGCCCATCTAAACCCAGAATAACCAGCTTTCCTGGATTATAATTACAGCCCACTACTAGCTTGCCCTGACTATAAGCTACACAATAACACCATTCTCCGACATCTATTCGATGATCTAATGACAAACTTGTATCGGTATAAGACATTACCTGGAGACATTTTTCATCAGGCAATGTAACTGCAAGTTTATTCTGTGGAAGTTTTATAACATCCCATGGTGCTGAAGACAGCGTCTTCTCTGACAAAAACGATCCTGTGTTTACATCTATCGTTTTAATTTTTTTATTACCGTAATCAGCGATGACAATTTGTGTGGCAGAAACCATTACCATCCCAATGACACTGCTTTTTTCTTTATCAGAAGGAAAAGTCACCTTGTGCGATCTTTCATAATTCACACATATTTCAGTATCTTCTGATGATTTTCGGTATGTTGAAATTGTTCCAAATTTTTCCCCATTTTTCAAGCGATCAAGTAGCTTTTGGTTCCGATCAAATTGAATGGTGTCATATGTCATATTATCTTGGACAATCTGTATTTCTTCACTTTCCAGTGTCATCATACGTGGTGTGACGTTCTTCATAACAATAAAAAGCTTATTCTGCTTTTTTGCTTCCTTCAGGGAATTTAGAAATGACTGTGAACGTTTTACTTCCTCGGCTATTTTTTCACAAGCAACCTGGATATTCTCGAGTTTGTAGTTTGCTGTGTTAACAACAGCTTCAGCTTCTTTTATCATCATCGATTCCATCTGATCTAAACGATCGTTTATTTCTTTTCTCAAGAGCCGTATGTCTTCAACAACTTTTCCACGACTTTGTTCTAGTTGCTTTGTAGCAGCTGAAGCCTTCATAATGTTATTTTCACATTTCTTGACTAAATCTTCCATCTTTTTGTTCAAATCTATCCACTCGCCAGATACGTTACCTGAAACATCAGGAATATAGTCAACTTTACATTGTTTGTGTTCAAGTGTAACACAGACATAACATGCTACAGTTTTGTGATTGTTACAATAGAACTCCAGTGGTTTATCCCTATGGTTGGTACAGTTGTCCGTAATTACTTCTGCATTTACGTCGTCAACGGCCATTTGTTGTGTTGGCATAGCGTCTTTATCAAGCAGTACGTGGTTTCTAGATAGCTTTGACCTTCTGTGATGTTGAAAGCAACTTTTGCAAAGATGTTCTTGGCAGTCTTGACAAAATCCGTAAGCTGGCTCCTTTAATCCATCTGTATCACACGTAATACAGTAGAGGTTTAAGTTCGTCTTTAATGTCGAAGTTACCTTTCCAGATACCTCCATTTTCTTAAATGGAAATAAATTACTAATCAATTTTCCTCCGACGACATATCAAGGTTCTGAACAATATGAAATAAAGATAAATATATATTATTATATATATATTCCTGGGAAATAAATATGTTTAAACATTTATGACTTACATTAAATACATCGAATTTACTGTTTGTAATCCAATATCTCAATATGCATTTCTCAATGCGATCTCGAAAGAATTTCGTTTGCAAGCTTAAACATGTCACATATTTATCAGCTAATGTCCCCTTTATTGTAAAGTTAAACCTTTTAACTTCTTTATTTATTCATCTTGGATTTTTAATTGAACTTTCATTGTAAACGTCAATTAATTATTATTTAAAATGTTTTTTCAAGTAAAGAAACCCGGTTTGTATTTTTTTATTTACAAAAACAATGTCACGTGATCTGATTTATATTGTTCAGTTGTTTCACTATATCACATATATAACGTATCTTAAAATTATCAATAAGGCTCGTGTTACTATTTATCTTGACTAGTAAGTTTATCGTGCTTAAACATATTTATTTTGCAATATTATTTTGAAATACTGTAGAAAAAACTCACCTTTCTTTCAGTACGTCTTTCACCAAACTTTGGAACGCGGAAGTTTAAATTCTAGTTCGCAGGGGCGTACTGTTTGTCTTTCAGATATGACATGTGAGATTTTCGCCCTTAAAAGCATGAGCGCTTTTATAAATTTAGATAATCTATCCTTTTAAGTAGAAAGTGGCATAAAAACTGCTCTTTTAGTTGTAAATAAGCATGTGTTCTAACGTTTACAAAAATATTAACTAAAATAAAGTGTGTCATCATTTTTTTTTATTTTAATGTACATTTGTTCATAATATACATGCCCGACACAAAAGTAATAAGTATGCAATGGAAAATAAATATAAGAACTTAATGAATCAAAAGTTTATTTACTCATTTAATAATTTAAAATATCCGAAACAATGTATGTATTACTCATCTATGCTTAAGATCGACAGAGAATAATCTTAAATGAATAAAGATCAGAGAAACTATATGCCCTAGACCCCATGATTTATATAACAATACGTACTATAGACAATCTTTTTGATTTTATGTTTAAATCGGGTTTCTTTTCGAAAAGCTATAAATCAAAAGAAGGACAACTTCTGACTACAGAGACATTTATATATATATATATAAGGCAGGAAGAAATTTTTTTAGTTTTTATCAGTCTTTGTAAACTATCAATTGTCCAGTGTGTGTATCAATTTTGATCTACGGACATTAATTATGTAGGTCTATAAAGCAATGTTATTTTACCATATAGCTGATTATGTTTTCATGTTTATCGGTATAGTTAATTGTGTTGCCATGTGAATGAACACAGTTAATTGTGTTGATTTTAATTCCATTAAATCAATGAAGGTCAGCCGAAAAATGGTCTTTATTCACAGGGTGATCTTAAGTCGTGTAGGTCTTTAACACAGTTGTAATAATGAACGTTCATCAAACATATGTCTTGTTAAACAACATCCATTTTTATGTCTGCGATATGCATCAACACATCAAAAAATGTACGATGCAAGTGAGTTTGACAGTAAAAGTAAATCGTGAATGTCATGTTTAACAACATTATAAAATAAATACTTATGTTTATAAAGATTTCAAAATAATTATTTATTTTGTCCTGTTTATTGACTTAACAACACACATTGTAATATCAATCAATACCTGTATTCTGTCATGAATAATAACATGACACACTTTGTCGGTGCAAAATATAATCCCACATTCATTCTTTGAACTTATTTAATGTATTCTTTTAATAAAGCCTGTGTGACAAATGGGAAATAATAACGTTAGGATAAATTTCAAGAAAATCTGGTCAACATTCTTTGTTTGATATGGCTTAGCATATTGAAAAAAAGAATTTATTAAAGTAATCAAATTTTAAGTACAAGAAAATTTTGTCAAAATACTAAGTTTGATAAGATAGGATATGTTTGTTTGGTTCACAATTCAACAATTAACCTTTAATATTATTTATTCACATTACATGAAATATGCCGCATACGATAAGTTATCAATATATAATGTAATGTAAATATAAATTATTAGGTCAATCAAATTTAAATTTAACATTTGATAATTTACAAGAAATAATATATCTTTATCATTCATTCAAAGAATTCAAAATACTACAAGGCTTTGAAAAAAGTCTTTACTTCACCTCTTTCTCTCACAACAGTTGTGGGAAAATCTCAAATTACAGGGCAATGTTTGACCAAATGTTCATGACTTTTTTAGCATATGCACTCAAAAATGATACATCAGAATAAAAGTAAATAAATATACTTAATACCCTTTTAGTTTCAGGGGAGGGGGACAAAAAGCTTTTTACAGAATAGTTTATAAGACTCCTGGGGCATGATTTATGTAAGATTATAATAAAATCAAGTTAAGAATATATTTAGCTCAAATTACCTACAGAAAACAATGATTTTCTAAAATATCTAACCAGCTCTGTTGGCGATGATGTTTAAAGTAAATGTGTAAAACAACATACATTGGCTTATATCGTTTCTTGACGAAAGCTTAAAGTCAGAGCAATAAAGATGTTCTGTATTCTGGTGTTTTTTCTGGGTTTTGCATTTCACTTACACTGTAAAAGTCATATGGCAACATTCCAGCTTTACTGGTGCAGAAAAAATAGCACATTGATTGAGTCGCGGTTGTTACACAAGACTGATTCAAAAATCGTTTTATCGGTTGCTCTTAACTTCTTAAATACGGCTTGAAACGAATAAACATTTGTATTAAAATTGATAAGATAATTCTGGATTGAGAGTTTGTAAAAATATTATGGCGAAAAACTGAATCATATGATGCACATATCAATTATGTCAGTATTGTTACGGCTATGAAGTCCTTAGTCTAAAAATATATATATGGATAGTAATAGAAAGTGCAAACTACAGTCCACGCCCATAACTCTAGTTTTCATTAGCATTCTTTATTCCACATAAAATGTTAAAATATTGAGTTTAAAAACACCCGTAGTTGTGATCATATGGCGATTTTAGGAAATACATATACTGTATATAATTTAGTTTGTAAAATAATGCAAATATGAAAACATAAATTGAAAGATGCTTGCTACAACTAATTTCATTTACTGGTGATATATCCAAGTATAAATAAATGTCATTTATAATGATAATGATTATGATGATGATAATAGTTCTGTTGTTGTTGTTAAATAATAATGATGTCCAAACTCAACAGGGGGACACATATTGCAATTTTTGGTAAGCAATAATTCTCTAGAAATGCGTCCTTTTTTATTTGTAAAGAACATGTCTTGAAATTGAAATTAATATACGTGTTTTGTATACCTTTATACTATAATTTTATCATTTGGCTCAAGTGGCAAGGGAAATTACCTAAATAGCATGTTATTGGCGTATAAATGTGTTTATATCCCTACAATTAGTCAGAGATGGCGAGGTTTTATTGCAATTTATTGTATCACAAAAAGAAAAATCTCCATTATTATAATAAAGCATTTTGTTTGAAGTTTCTTAAAACGTTTTTTCTTAAATTACGCAGCCCGGGCAAAAGTACAAAAATCAAGATGGCCGCCAATGTGGACACCAAAATTACAAAATACCATATAATTATTGTTTCTTGACTTTTTACTTTAAGATTTTTACCATGTAGTTCTAATTGCGAGTAAAAATGTGTTTGCCCTCACGAGAAAACAACGGGCGAAACAGAAAATAACGAACGTTTTGGTCTTATTTCGGCTTTCAGCCCACCTAATCGGATTTCCTTGATTATAAACTAGCCATTGACCACCTGCTTATCTCGAATGATTTTTGAATAAGCTGTGAGAGACAAATGACATTTAGACTCAATGTCAGAGGTCTATTTTCAAAGAGAAATTTACTTCGTTCCAGGATCAAGCAAGCAACTCCTTATTATTAATATGTTGTTCTGCCCACTGAGCTAAGCAGGCGGACTACATATGGACATAACGATTGACTTAATTGTGTGTCATTTATCAACCTTCTGTTGTTGGTGCTATCATGTCCTAAAACTAGCTATAAAAACTGCTCTTGTACATTAAGCGCACAGCAAGAAACCCAAGCAATCGGATTATGTTGCATACATTTGGAAACATTCTCATAATTATAGTAAAGTTGAAATCTTGAGACAGCACAATATGAAATGGAGTGCGCGTGTTTGAAACGAAAACAATAACACTTTCATCGGCAGTTATGCTCCAAAAGCTGATGATGCTTTAGTAACATAGTAAAAGAATTTGATGATTATAACAAGATATGTCTGTAACAATCAAAACAGTCGACAATTATTAACACAAACTTTCGTATACATTGTACTCTCAAAACATGCATCTTTGAATGGATGACACTAATATAACCAGAAAAAGTGTCAAAGTACTATTTTGATATACAAGCTTAAATTTCACTTTTCTAGCTGTCAAACTGGTCTTCTTAATTTGCCAAAAATTATGACTTGTTAGTTAAGTCCGTCCAAGAATAGCATAATTGATGAATAAACACTACCATGAATATATCATAATGACATTTTACCTTCAAACTTGACCTTTTATGTACAAAATTGTTCTCCTTAAAAAGTGTTTTAAGTTTTGCAGAGTTAAGCAAATCTTTTTAAAATCTGTAAATGAGTGGGAAGTATAGGAATGGACATAACTTTTAATGCAGTATCATGACTTTTGACATTCATCTGTGACCTTGACCTTTTGAATAAACAACTGAATCAAGTTCGCCAAAAATTCAATTAATAACGTTGCATAAACGTTGAGTAAAAATCAACTCCACTCCGGGGGGACAAAGATTTTCCTTATATCTTACTTTTCAGAGCAACCAGTGACTTTCCATAGAAACCATCGCCTCCCCTAGCAACTAATGACTTACATAGCAATAAGTGAAAAACATATAAACCATTGACTTTCCATGGCTGCCATAGACCACTTTTACAAACAACAAGTATCTTTCCATAGCAACCAGTGCCTTTCCATGGCTACCATTGACTTTCCATAGCAACCAGTGACTTCCATAACAACCAGTTACATTTCATAGCAACATGTGATTTTCCATTGCAACCGCTAATATTCCATAGCAAACAGTGACTTTCCATGAAAATCATTAACCTTCCCTTGCAACCAGTGATTCTAATAGCAACCGGCGACTGTTTATAGCTATCAGTGACTTTTCATAAAAACCATATACTTCCATAGCAAACGGTGACTTTCTACAGTAAACATTTATTTACCTTTCTATTGCAACTATTGACTTTCCATAGCAACAGTTGACTTCAATAGCAAAGACTAACTTTCCATAGAAACCAGTTACTTCATAGCAAACAGTAAATTTTCATTGCAACAAGTAACTATGCATTGTAACCATTGATTTTAATAGCATCCGGGAACATTCCATAGCAACTATAGGGTTCTATAGCAACCAGTACCTTTTGGATTGCAACCATTGAGATTCATTAGCCATGATTGACTTTCAGTAATAACCACATACTTTCCCTAGCAAACATTGACTTCCACAGCATCCAGTGTCATGCCATAGAAACCATTGACTTT